GAGAAAGTAATAGCCTCTTCGGGTACGTCTAAACTACATGGCTCCGTCGATGGAGCCATGTAGATTAGTGTGCTTGAAAAAGGGAAATGAAGCTGCGATTTAAATAATCGCTGATTCATTTACATCAAATTGGCTGCCGTGCTGTGCCGATCAGCTGTTCGGTGGCACAGCGGGGCAGTCTGGATGCTCCACGGTCGACAAGGGAAGCCTTTATCAACCACTCCGGTAAACCTCATTCCATGAGGCATAATGGAGAGGTCGACAAAGGCTTCCATTGTTGACTGCAGAGCATCCAGACTGCCCCGCTGTGCCGCCAAACAGCTGATCGGCACAGCGCGACAGCCATTTTGATGTAAATGAAGCAGCGATTATTTAAAACAACGCTTCATTTTCCTATGTCTAGTAAACTCATCTACATGGCTCCGTATAGACAGACCCTATGTGTCCCAGTACAAAATTTCAATGAAGACATGCAATAAACATATTCCCTTTGGATCATCTCATATCTTTCATGACCCTAGAAAAAAAATTAATTATGATATGTAAGGATTTTTAAAAGGTCAGAAAATACAATATATTCACATAATGGCACAATTAGAACCCAATCTGCAAAAACCTATTTATTGGATAATATTAGTCACATGAATAGCTCCAGTGAGTTCCGTACAACTGCTCAGGTGTGTGACTGTTTCCAGGAGCAGGCCCTCTCATTTAGAACTAAATGAGCCACAATATGAAATTTATCTAAGAAACAGTAGCACGATATAAGTGAATTACATGGGCCATCCTACAGAACTGGACTCCCAGAGCAGTTAGCTACTGCCCTAGTGGAGGTGGTTTACCTATAGCACCGGGAGAGAGCTGCTGCCATGGCCACTCTGTCATGTCAAAGTGCTTCCATGGCAGCACTGCTGCAGCTGTGCTTTCAATTTCTAAGTGCAATTTGTGTATCTTTTCCGCTTTTCTTCTGAAAGAGGCTTTTCTGAAATTTAGCCCATCTACACGGGGCCAAATGTTGGAAAAAAAACCCTCCTTTCAAACATCCCTTCTTCCTCATAAAATGAGGTTTACAGGGATGCCGAAAAAAACGCGTCGGATTTTCCGAATATTTTTTCAGAAAAGCAGACATGTTCCTTG